CCTGAGATGGACTAAGACATTGATTGATGAGCGTTATGTGCCAACAAGAAGTTGCAGTGATCTCTATGGAGATCAATTATCAACATTAACATGGTCTGAAAATACAGACGTATGCAAGGCATGTGCTTCTGCTGCCACATTCCTTAAGGCAAGCCACTCTTAACCATGACATAACATCAGATGTGTCTCGTCTGTGCTAAAGTCAAAAAGGACTGAGTGGTGCAAAGTTATATTGTCTGATAAAAGTAAACTCTTCAAGATCTAAGTTACTTGTGATCCATCATTTCCAGAGTCAGTTATGCTTTGGAGTGCCATGGCATCTGCTGGTGTTGGTCCATTGTGCTTTCTTAGATCCAATGGTAACACAACCGTCTACCGGGAAGTTTTAGAACAATCCATGCTTCCTGCTGCTGAACAACCTGGAGATGCAGATATCTTATTGGACTGGTTACACTGGCACACAGTGCCAAAGCTACCAGTACCTGGTGTCCTTGTTCGTAATTGGTAGCAAACTCTCCTGACCTTAAGCACATAGAAAATCTATGTGGTATTGTAAAGAGGAAGATGTGGTTAGCAAGACTAAACAATGCAGAAGAGCAATATTTTGATATAATATCTGAGGAGTGCCACAGACTCATGCCATGCTGCATTTCTGCAGCGATTCAGACAAAAGGAGCCCCAACGAAGTATTGACTTCTGTGGACGTTCATACTTTTCATGTTTATACTTTTCAGTTACCCAACATTTAAAAAACAAATGAAGTGAAAATTCCTGAGATACTGATTTTGTTTGATCATTAGTTGTAATCAGAAATACTTGAAATATTATAATCTGTACTATAAAAATGAATATATGCAATATACTACTTTGCTTGAATGGAATTTCTGAAGTACGGTAAATACACATTTTCATTACATGAGTTAAATGACTGTATGCAACAGTGTTATTGTTCTCTATCATATGTTTTATTTAACAAAAATATATAGTGGCAAAAGGTAATTTTTCTTTTTCAAACAGTTGTAAAGAGTGTATTTAAAAATGAGCAGAACAAATATTTGTGTATTGACAAAGTTGACTTCTAGATATCTTTGTGTTGGAATCTCTTTCAGAATAAACAGTCCTGGCAGAATGAATATGAGATTTATAACGTGAGCGGAATGAAGCATGAAAATATCCTGCACTTCATCGGAGCTGAAAAACGTGGAAATGGAGTTGATGTAGAGCTGTGGCTCATTACAGCGTATCATGAGAAGGTATTCACAATAGCACACCAATCACAGAAACAATAGAGCTGCCCAAACCCAACCACCCTACACAATATTCTAGCCCACAACCTTACCAGCAACAACTCTGATACTCCTGCAACATCTGGATTCTCAGCAGTGACTTTGGTTTATATTGATCTCCTGATCTCTACCATTACAGTTTTTCTCGATTGCTTAAACACATTTCTTGAAACTATGCCTCGTATTCTCAAAACAGTAAACACAAATCCATAACTTCTCACCCAATTTCCCAAACATCCTATTTTCAGGTCAAAATGAAGCTCTACACTCAAAACCATTCACTCTTGCTGAAAAATCTAAATTTGCGTTCAGACATCACACACAAGGCCTCAAAAACACTCACACTACAACATAGTTTTACACACTGGTGCAATAAATTAAAAACAATATTTCCAAAACGGGCAAGTTATGTTGCTTGTGGTTCTTCCCCTCAAAAACAATTTCACATGATGAACAAAAAAGACGAAACCAATGTACACTGGCAAATTTTTATTCATGTACTATACAGTACAACACATACACAAAAATTATTCCACCTCAGCATCCTGTCTGTGGTCTGGGTCAGGCCAGAGAACCTCATCCACGTCACAGGCTATATTAGCCCTAGCCAGGACGCGGGGGTAAAATCCTCTTCCATGCCTGATCCACCCCTGGCATGCATCTACTGTTATATCTAGGCAGGCTTCTTCCATGGCCTGGAGGAGGTGAACACGGACATAAGGCTCACTTTCCACCATCATGCCGAAAAAAAACTTGGGTTATTGGTAAACCAGTCACGAACCAGAACAGCATGATGAAAGCTGACATTATCCCAAACAACAATGTAGTGAGGCTGCTCTGGCTGTGCTGGTTCCCTGTAGTCCAGCTGGAACATATGCTCTCTTAGACCATCAAGGAAAGCAAGGAGGAGCATAGTATTATAAGGTCCTAGAATGGCATGGCGGTGGAGTACCCCTCGTTGGCTGATGGCTGCGCACATAGTGACATTCCCTCCACGCTGACCAGGGACATTTACAATGGCCCGATGACCAATTCTGTTCCTCCCTCTTCTCCTCCTTTTGGTCAGGTTACGTAAAACCTGCCTCATCCACAAAAATAATATGTGAAATAGAGCATTTCTCTATTACAGTAGCATAGTACAACATTGTATGTGTTGTCACAGCATGAGCTCAGCACTCAAAAGTTACTGTACAGAGCAGTCTTACTGCAAGAACATCTACCTGTTTTCCTCCCTGAAGGTTCTGATGATGGAGGCAACACTGAAGCGACTCAAATTTGGCTGTACTCGTGGCCCAGCGTCCCTCATAGTCATACCATGGACAAGAACATGGTCAACTATAGTGACTCGAATTTCATCCGAGACTGCTTGTCTCCTTGCCCTTCCCCTTCTTTGTTGTCGTCCTCATTCTCTGCCTCCTCCTCCCCCTTCTCCTTCACCATGTCCTCCTCCTCTCCTTCCTTCTTCACCACGTCCTCTACCCCTTCTTCCTCCTCCTCCTCCTCTCCCTCCTTCTTCACCACGTCCTCTACCTCTACTTCTTCCTCCTCTTCCTCCACTCTGGTGTCCCTGACCTCTTCCCTTACGTCTCTTTGGATCCATTGTTTCAAACCTAACTAAGTTGACTTTTACCCCTTTTATCTATCCATTGAAGGTTCTGATTGGTGTGTGATAAATTTTGACTCCTAGTGTTTCCACTTGGTTAATTGTGTGCTAATTGAGCTCAAGCGGTGCTGTGTTAAGTTAACATTATTGAATGCTAGTGCTTTCTAAATGACCACGTGGTGTAAGCACTGAGAAATGTAGGGATTTGTGTGTAGAGTTTTGCAGTAACAGTTCACCAAATATAACTCATGTGTCAAAGCAGGGAATAGTGTTTATAGTTTAGGGAAATGGGTGTTCGTTTTCAAAAAAGGCGTTATAGTTTTGAAATTTTAGTTCAAAAGACTGGTTATAGTGTTTTAGCAATTGAGAAAAACTGTAATGACTTCTTTATTCAACATAAATAATGTCGCTCTCCACCCATCGGCATACCAACACAAATTTAAAAATTAATAGTCAAAATAATAATAACTCATATTTCTGAAGCTGATAAAATACCATTTAACAAAAGTCTTGTAGTCGTAATAATTTGTTGCTTCCACGATAAACGATGTGGCATCAGGTTTATGGAGAATTTTTGAAAAATAAGGTAATTTTGGCAAAATTATCGTTTTTTTTTTTATGTTGATTTTCATGCTTTCAATAATATTAGTTTAAACTAGAGTAAAAAGAAATACCAAAACTCTGATTAAAGAAAACACTATCCAGACACTGAACACTGAAACTTCTACGAAAGTCAAATTTAATGATGTTAGGTCCCAGTTCTTACGTCAGCAGGTTAATCTGAACAATTCTTCTACAAAACAACTGTGCAACATTATTTAATAATAAATTAGTTTTTATTATTAAATAACAGAACACCCCACAGCCCAAGATTGGTTGTTTATTAAAGGTAAGCAGATAGAAGCTGTTATCCTTCTAATATTGAAGACTCACAAGGCAGGATTGTAATCTTTCATCTCAAGCCCCCGAGGGGCACATGGAAGTCATTGTCTCTGTTGCTGTGATGAGCTCCACTCCCTTGCGTCAGTCGTGGGGAAGGGTCTGGATGCGCCTGACTTCTAAGCATGTGACTTCAATCACGTCACGACATTAACTGTTTTTTTTTTTTTGTTTTTTTTTATAATTAATTCTAATTATTTTTTTATTTATTTCACTCTCATATGTTCTTTCACTAGAGCAAACGTGTTAATAATAGAGTAGGGGTACAAACAACTAATCCGTAATTGTGCAGTTTGGTTTTTGTTAAAATTAATTTGACATAAGATTCATAACAGGTATTGTTGCATCTTTAAATACATTTTGCATTTGACACTTTGCATAATTTAACGGTACTTTGTTTCTACGTTACACGTTTGTTCTCTTGTCTTCTATAACACTTCTCTATAAGTATTAACCAGTTAAACCTCAATCACCATAGCGCCCTCTACTGATCTTCAATGCACTACAATCACAAAACAGTATTATTCTATACTTTGGCTGAGTAACCTTGCCAAGTAGGAGTGTCTCCATTCATATCTTCAGTACTCTGTTTCAAGGGTTAAATAAAAATTTGAGAGAAAGGGAGAAAATGGAAGCACCGCCTTAACCCAGAAAAGATACTGTCATTAAAATAGAAGATTGTTTGATTATGGCTTAAAATAATGTTCATGTGGCCTTTCTTTGTGATTTTCTCAGGGCTCTCTGACTGATTTCCTCAAGGCTCATGTGCTGTCATGGAATGAACTGTGTGTGATGGCGCAGACTTTTGTTCGTGGTTTGGCGTATTTGCATGAGGACATTCCTAACATGAAGGATGGACACAAGCCGGCTATTGCTCACAGGTACTGGAATTTTACTTTGTGATGTCATGAACCCTAACAGCTGTAAGCAGAACATAGATGTGACTTTCAGACCAGACCCTTAATCACATTGATGCAGGTTTGGCGTCTTCTATAATGGCCAAAATTATAGGTGTGCTAAATGGGAATATCTTTAAGACATAGCCTTTTCTGTCAATATTGTTTGGTAACTAGGAAGAGGGGCTCAGTTATGTAAATGTACCACACGTCACTTTAGGAAAAGTAGAGTAGATGCTTTTATCCAAAGCATTTGAAAGAATGAATGTCAGTTCTTGCTTTCCCTGGGATATGAACACATGATCTTTGCATTGTTAGCCTAATGCTCTACCAACTGAGCCACAGGAAAGCTATGGAAAGCTGGCATATGCATGACGATTTGCAAATTCCTTTTGATCTGTAAATATATTTTGATTTCTAAGTCTGTACTTAAGTTCGTAAATGTAGAAATGCTCTAAAATGTCAGTATTTTGCTCAATGAGTGAACCGAAGTACTTAATGGCACTGAGTACGTAACGAATGTTCCAACGCATGCGCGGTAATGAATGTTGAAACACGCATACCTGGCGATTACATTATAAAGTCTATGATTGAAACCATAAATATTTTATATTTAGACAGGTGTTCTTTGAAAAGAGATAAACTTATATTGACACAAAATACTCTTTTTGCTCTGATGAACCCGATTCGTTTGATCACTTGTTTTATAATTGTAGATATACAGCAGTTTGTGAAATTTGATCTTAAGTTATTGTATCGTATAATATTCATATTATTATTATTGTTCTAATGCTATTTATCTCTTTATTTTATATCGTTGATTACTTTACTTACTATATTATAATTGGCAGCATTATGAGTTTCCGTATTGTTGATGACCAGTACACGTATACACGTGGGAGTTTTATTTCCCTATGTTTGTATAGTTATTCCATTCAACGGTGCGTGCGTTTCTACTTATTTTTATGAATCTTATACTACAAATATATACAGGTATAAACTCATGTATTTATTTTGTTTCAGCATACATTATTGTTCTGTACTCAATGGCATCACAGCGCATGTGTTGAATGTTTGTTACGTAGTCGCCCTGTCGGCTGCAGCGAGGACTTCTTGCAATGAGTTGTTAAATCTCAGTTACAGCTCACTCTAGGCTCCTGGTTGAGTGTTGTTAAAAACACAATTACTGCTACACATTTTCAGTGCACAATCTGTAAAACTATTTGTATCTGTAGAGGGTTCTGAAAACAGAGGTAGCTCCGGGCCAACAGGGGGCACCAGTGACAGAGCTTACGTCAACCTAGTCCTCTACCATTTAGATTTTTTCGGCTGCTAAGGTTATGACAAGCAACCCTTTTTATTTAAAGATAAGAAATGAAGCCATTTGTGTGTTTTTTTTTTTCAGGGATATTAAAAGTAAGAATGTGCTGCTGAAAAGTGATCTGACGGTCTGCATTGCTGACTTTGGTCTGGCACTCAAGTTTGAAGCTGGTAGATCAGCAGGAGACACACATGGACAGGTGATGGACAATGTTGTCCTTTGCATAAACACATTTTATTGCTTTTCAGATGAATTCTAGATTTTTTTAATCAGTAAATTACATTTCCATAGTTTTTGTATGAACATACGCAGAATGATTGTAAATAATCGATCTCTCTGTGGAACGTTTTCAACATTTATTACTTTAGGAATGACAAATGTATAAATTGATTTTTTTTTTTAAATGCATTTTTGGGTAAGGTGGGCACGCGGAGATACATGGCCCCAGAGGTGTTGGAAGGTGCCATCAGTTTCCAGCGGGATGCTTTTCTTCGCATTGACATGTACGCAGCGGGACTGGTGCTGTGGGAGCTAGCAACACGCTGCACTGCTGTGGATGGTAACTAGCACCTTCACCAGATCTCTGTTTCACCGGAGCTACTTGCATTAGACATGAACTAATTCGTTTTGTGTGTTTCAGGACTGGTGGATGAATTTTGCCTACCGTTTGAGGAGGAGGCTGGGCTGCACCCTTCTATGGAGGACATGCAAGATGTGGTGGTACATAAAAAACTGAGACCTGCCTTCAGAGAACAGTGGTTCAAACACACGGTAAGCACAATATTTATGGGTTAAGCAGATAAGGCTTCTCTACACTTGCAGGACAATTATTACAATATTTGAAGTAAAATAGTATTATTTGTAAACTTTCTCAAGCCACAAGTACGTAATAATTTTTGAATAGTAAATTATGGAGGCAAAATTCTTTTGCCCCTTGATTTGAGTGTTTAAGCCAAGGCTTTTCCAGTCTCGCAATTACCAAAAAGCTGACTCGATTTTACCAAGTTAGCCATTATTGGGTGTGTAAAGTTGCACATCTTAATGCATCTAGTCACACAGGTTACGATTTAATTGAAACATAACCCCCAAAGACCGCGGTTTAAATTAGGACACACTTTGACAAAAATATAGCAGTTTTATTTCATTCTAGACAAATGCATGTTTTCAATAGAAAATTACAAAACTTGCACAGGCAAATAAACCAATATACATGTTAAAATGGCAAGCATCAAAGCAAAGCTCTTATAAATGGCAAAAAAAATGCATTTATTTACATGATTATGAAATTTATACACAAGCAACATCGTTCAAAAAAATTTCTAAATAACCACCAAAATGCAAAGTGTACCAAATAGATATATAGATTATCTGTTCACAGTTGCAAGGCTTTTTGGTGTGGTCTCTATAGAAATAAGAATGTTTAGGTTTCACTGCCTTTACACATTTACAACATGTTGTTAAAATGACCAAACAATGATCTTTTTCTAAATAACTCTTGTTGGTGACCCCTTTTAGATCAATTACATAGTTTTGCATAATTAATGAATATTTATTAATATTCTCTATTTTAAGCCGATGTCCCCGCCGTCAAAGCATGAGCTGTTTCTAAACTACGCTGCAATATTTTGTCAACATGCTTGATTACTAAAGTTTAAAAACCACTGACAGTACATCTGAATCCTCTTTGATTCATATGTCTGATACTAAAGAGATATTCTATCTTTGCTAGAATTTTCTAAACTGTTATATATGTTTGTTTAACAGTGCATTCAATTAGTGTATGAAGTACCCCGAGAAACAAATACTTCGAGTTACAAAATGTTTAAGATACAAACAATAACAACAAACAGTTCCATTCTACTTTCCATTTGTTTGTTCTGCTGCGCTTTCGCTACTTTCTCCCTTTGAAGAAAGTGTGCTTTATCGGGGCTGATACGCCTTAAAACACTTTAAATTACTTTTAAATCGAGTAAAACATTATTTATACATTACCAATAATGTACTAACAAATGTGTTGTAAAAAAAATGTTTATAAAGTGGAAAGTGCTGTTCTGTAGTGCAAGTTAGAGAAACCCTTTGATGCACTCTCCATCCCTTCGCTTGGTATTCTTTATGCTTGTGCTTGAAACAGAGTTTGTGTTTGTAATTCGTGAAATATCTGGAGAAAGTTAACTTTCATACGTGGTGCTGTAATGTTTTCTGCCACCTGTTCCACCTCCTCCGACACATCGCTTCACTCAAAGTAAGGTTTCACATTTGTGAACATATTACGTATTTTGCTTGTGTTTTATTATCTTTTATTACATTAACAATGTGTACTGCTTAATTTTTCTCTGGTGTTCCGTTTTTTTTAAATCAACTTATACTGTTGTTTCTGAGAGCCATTGCACGGATTAGGCGTTTTACACATCCCCAATGTGTAAAGGCGTTAAGAGCATCAATTGCAGGTAATCTAATATAAAAACACTGTTTTGCAATTTGTAAATAAAGAAATATAATATAAAATCCACTGTGCAGTAGCAGATCAATCAAATCTTTATTGAGCAAAAGTCTTTATATTCATGAAGTTCACGTTAATGTACACCTGAATAAGGCAGTCACATGAACACATTTAAGTCCAAATAGAAGGCTAATAATGCAAAGAATGCTTCACACAAACTATAATGCATCTAAGCACCATTTCTAATGGTTTCAAGGATCATACACAGTGGCGGCAACATTCTGAAGCTGTAAAGTTTAATGTCTGACTGGGCTAATTAAATTTGCCAACTGGTTTGAAAGCCATTGATTTGTGGGTTGGAACTAAACGGAAAATGGAGTTTGACACCAAAAATTTTAGCCAACTGTTTTTGTTTCTCCTCTCACTATGTATGGTTTGTGTGCTACAGGGAATGTTTCTGCTCTGCGAGACCATGGAGGATTGTTGGGATCAGGAGGCAGAAGCTCGTCTGTCCGCTGGGTGTGTGCTGGAGCGGATTACCTCTTTGCAGCGTAGTACATCTCTTCTTGTGTCCCCACACCTCCTCAGCAACCTCACTCCTCCATCCAAAGAGTTCAGCCTTTGATGATGTAGAAGCAGCAATGGCAGCACAGAACGAGCACTTTGAGAAACTTCCTTTGTGCATCATGAACTCTCCATACTTGATGAGGTGGATGTAGTCTTTGGAAGGAGCAGCCAAGAAGGAAACACTACGACTGGAAAAAAGTTTATTTCAATTTTAAAATAAGAACAGGAGCTGCAAATGTAAGTTGAACCTAACTATTATGCATAAACTTTGTTTTAAAAGTGATTTTCTTTACGATAAATGTAAAATAAAAAAGTTTGTAGAACAGCTGGAAACACTTGTATATTACATTTATCAAATATTATATTTTACATCTAGATACTTTTTTTTGTCTGTAGTATGACGTAACGTTCATATTATTTTTCCCTCACAATGCAGCATTAAATAAGATGATTGTTGAAAGGAAATGAAGGGTTTACCTGCACCTAAATGGCTATTATGCAACAATTTTCCAATCAATTTTTTCAATTTCAACATTTAGAATTAGCGCATTTTCTTCCTCAGCAAATCTCTGCACTGTGTCATTGATGATAAAGTTGTGCTTTACAACAACTGTTAATCAAAGTGTGTTGATGAGAAAACACGTTTCAGCTTTTAAACAACTTTGTAGATCAATCAAATCTTCAATACGACACATGTACAGGTCACCATGTATGTAAATATGAGTATTTTAAATTATTAGTGTAGCATGTTGATGCTCTACTTTATAAATGTAATTTATAAATAAAGAACAGGTTACATAAAATTCCATTGACACTTGCTTTACTTTACGAAATTATATTAGTTTTGATTATACATTTGCTCATACTGTAACCTGGAATTATAATGGGCTACTTACTTTACTACTTCCATGTTCGTCTGAATAGAGCTCAATAACTTCCAAGTTTGCTACATACTGCACCCACAGTACCTCAGAGATTAATAACTCCACTGTTGTGTATCGTATGTGCAAAATTTTTATTTAA